ATTGTGTAAAACTTTCATCTTTACAGGCTTCGTCAATTTTAGGCCAAAAATAAGTGTTTTCACACACCTGCACCATCCGTTTCAAAAAATCATAACTCTTAGTATCGAGCAAGTGGAATCTTGCAATTCACCCACTCTATAGAGAATAATTGAGTCAAAACTGCGAAAATTTCATTCAAATCGCAAAAACACTAATGTTTCAGGATTAGTGAATAATGAACCAAAAAAAAAATGTTCATACAACTGCACTGTCCGCTTTGAAAAATCATAACTTCTTATGTAGAACAACTGGGAGCTTGCAATTCACAGCCTTTATAGGCGAACAAATGGTCTGTACAATGCATTCAATTTTTTATTGCATCAGGCAAAATTGCAATATTTACGAGGCGACAATAGTGCAGCTTTCTTGGATGAAGCAAACATTTTAAGTTCATCCATAAACCTTCTGGTAAATTTTAGTACTCTAAAGGGCAAAAATTCGACATTCTTCAACTCTCCAGTTGAAATTGGGCCACATTAAACAGCACGCAATTTCCGCTCCGTTTCGAAACTTCCAACTCATGCCGGATATCTGGAACGTTTTCAACGCACCATAAAAGGTGTTTTTTCCCCATCAAACATTTCCAACAGCATATCCGGAACATTTCGAACACACAAACACACACACACGCAAACTTCCTAATGTAAATGTCACGCATCTGATTAAGTTATTTACCTCAGCGAATCGTGCAGACGACGGGAGTTGAAAGTTGCGAGTAATCCGAGCGCCTTGTTCAAACAAGCCGCGGCTTCTGCGGCACTTTCCTGCTGGGAATCAGTTTCTGCGTGAGGCGGCAGAATTGGCCTGCCAACAAAAGAGACAAAAGGCAAATAGATGGCTGAAAGACAGCGAATCGACAATTGATCGAAAGGAGTCTGTTTAATCCATTTTTGAAAACCTGCATATCACTGCCTTCTTTTATAGAACTGATCAAAACCTCCCTTCGCAGCATCAGTTTCGATCTTCCAAGAAAACCTGGATGCTTTTAAATCGTCATAGATCAGTGGCCTTTTGAGACGAAAATTTCAAACCATCCTGCATAAAATAGCCAAGTTTAATCCAATTCATTAGCAATCTTTGGTGAAGAGTGCGTGGATAAAGGTCAGAGTTGAAGTGTTCAGCCAACTGTTGATCCCATCCTATTGAGAACTAATTAGCCAAATGGATCATATGGGAACTAATGGCTTCTTATTGAGCAGGAATATAAACTGCTCTGTTCGTTCAACTGGCTGACTGGTTGCAGCTTGTTTGCCACTGTTATGTGAAGCTGCAGCTTTCTCCCAACAGTTTAATTAAACTTGCCCGAATAAATCAAGCCAGAGTCAAT